CAGACAAATTTGACCAAAAATTGATGCAATTTCCTAATTGTAGGATTACGGATTCGCATCTAGACCATGACACTTATACATCAATTGAGTTTGAGTATCTTGTTGCAATGTTAGCACATAATTTTGTCGGAGAACATAGTGACTCGCCTGTCGTAGAACGTCGATAAAACTCTTCTAGACTTGTAAAATCCCCGACCCACAACGGGCAATATGATGGAATAAACTTTCAAGACGAAGCAATGTAACTTGTATAGGTCACTAAAGTACTGTAGTTATCATACACCAGTAAGTGCACATTTTGGGGCTAGAGTACTGACAGTATCCACTTACCTTTAATTCTACTCCCTAATCGTATTTACGTTCAGATTATCATTCTTAACTAATTATTTCACACTCATAACAGCACTAATTTTGTATATTCTACTACAGATAGAGTTTCAAGCCGTTCGTGAGCTATACTTAAAAAGTACCACCGTACTGTACACCATAATGTCAGTAGGTAATTTTCTTTGTACCGTAGTGCTTATGTTGAGTCAATATATATTTTTTAATAATTACGCTTTATTACTGACGGCTGATCATTCATAATCGTACTTCTATAATATTTGCATATATAGATAGATCTGCTATAGCAGTAGTAAGGTGTTTGCCGTCGTGCCATAATTAATTACTAAAAACTGAGAGAAAAAAATAGGTTACAACTCACTTTTGCTAGAAACTTTCAGCGGGAGTACAAAAAGCATGCGGGTGCATGCGTCCTGTGTGGTAAGGCGGTACGGTCTTGGGGCCTACCATAACCTTTCAAAAACAATCTTATTTCAATGTAAGCTTATAGTAAGCTTATTATAATATTACTCATATTCGTACCATGATAAGCCTATGAACTAAGTAATGTATTATTGCTAAAGTGACTGAAAGTACGCGTCGCGGGGCGTCAATGGATGCGGCTGGCACCGGACCATGGTAGATGGCACAAACTTCGGCCTATAATATTCGGCCTAGCATTGGTTGAAATCAGGCTGTGGATGATGACGACGATGGAAAGAACGAATGATTTCCGGATATTGTCTATTCCTTTAAAATAACAAAAAAATAACGCTATATGAACTGTATAATACCATCTCTTTCGTTTTTTGATTGTTCAGAATCGTCCTATCGTAGTATAATGATAAAGTACCTACTTAATATTATTTACATTTACACGATTTTTAACTGACAAAAAAAGAAAAGGATGTAATAACAAAATCTATTAAAATTACGTTGTTTTTAATTATTTTTCCGCATTTTCATGAAAAAAAAAATAAAACTAGCTGAATATTGATTGTCACGTTGTGAATTCGGAATTATAGACTAGTGTCAACTGTTAGTGTCGCCAAAAGCATATAGATGTCGCTGTCATAATTTTACGAAATAAACATCGCGTATTTTTATTTAGCGAGAAATTATTTCCTATGTACTATTGAATAAAAAAATAAACAAAATATTGAAGAGCTACATTATGTAACAAATAAGTTCAACTTAACTTTTAATCATTACAAATCAATATTAAGACAATAACACTGAAAATAATATTTTTTCCATTGCATCCGTGTAACTATTTTATGATTGCTAAATTTGACATAAGAGCAATATTACTTTAATGTTAAAGTCGCGTCATAGTACGAAGTGAGTGAATGAATAGTCACTAAGCCGCCAATAAAATATCATAGTTTTAACATTACAAATAAACTTGCTTTAAGCGCGTCTTGGTACGAAAAGTCAATGTAAGGTTTAAAGTACATTGTTTTAAAAGGTTGTGGTAGACCCCCTTGTATCACCTCAATACAAATACGTCGGTGTTCACAGTATTGCCTTAGTGCACATCTTAAACATGTGTATACAGATAGACATGTGTATAGAATACACTTGGATGTCGCATAAATCCCATAGTTGGTTTTTAGATTAATATAGCGAAACGGGATACACTGGACTATCATATACCGATATTTTATTTTACGGTAATGTTCATTAACGACATTAACGGGTTAATAAACTGTACCTTACATCCCACTTGTGTTATTTGACTTGCACCACAGTACATACCTTGTGGACATTCTGGGTGGCACTCGCCCGCCGCCAACCTCCACCCTGCAGGACACGAGGCGCACTGGTCTCTTCTCGGACCGATGCAAGTGCGGCACGACAAATAGCACTTAGAACAGGTCCCACGGTCTGCATAGTACCTGGGGAATGGAGTTACAGTTAGCAATTAAAGTTTTAAAGTTTCACCTTGCACAGTACACAACAAAAGATTTCAGAAATAAACTTTGTTCAAACTGGAATGCATTCAACTCAGCCGCTAGATAAATGCCACTCTTTTAAACGATACATGTAAGTAATTGACGTAAAAATAAACTTGCATTTAAAAAAGTGATATCTTTTGCTTTAAACATGTTAACAGCAATATTGCTATTTACCCGTGATCTCCATCCCTGCAAGCAAAGTTGAAGTTTGGTCCAAGTGCACCCGTCTCTTTTAGTCTCGTTTACTTTCACTAAATTCTTAAGGACTCTTGAAATTTATGCGATATATGATATATTTATTTTTGTCCGTAGTGCGCTTGTAACTGAAGTCGCTTTATCATTTTAAATTTTAAATATACGTTTTCACCTTACTAGCTGGGAAAGACTTTATTTCTCATTCGAAATCTGCTCGCAAAAGCGTTTTATCCACGCTAGCGTTGAAAAGGTTTTGAAATTCGAACTTGACGATGGACTGTGGTGCACCTAACTTTTTCTTTCGATGAAATAAAAACATAATGACACGTTCAACTACGCGATTTGTCGTACATTATTTATGTAATATAAATCCGTTTGTATATTTTATTCTTATTATTGTTGACATTAAACTGACAACGATAACTAATTTTGTTTAAAGCTGATTTCTCATAGCTCAACTGTTTTTCTTTCATCTACCATTTTCCTCGCTATGGTAAGGTGAAAAGTTGTGTTTCGCTCGACAGCAAGTTGCTTTGCGTCTCGTGTCTTGAAACCCTCGCTACGTTCAGGATTCTATTTTATTTTAATCTTAGTATCCTTCGCTTGCTCAGGTTTCAATACAAGCACTCGCGTCAAACAACAACTTTGCAGCCTTGCATAACAAATAACTTATTATATTAGTTTTCTAGCTTCACGATGAACGGTCAAGTTGAATAAGCTTGCAATAACGACTTACCCATTAGCACAAGACGTCCTGCAAGATCCAGACTGCAAGCGCAAGGAACCTGCGCACGCGGTGCAGTTTAGCCGCGACACACACTCCGCGCAACCGTGAACGCAGCGAGCGCATCGGCCTGCTTCGGAATAATAACCTCGGCCGCACTCTGATACGCACCTAGTACAAACGTTTGACAATTTTAGATACTTGAAACATTAAATAAAATAAACGAGTTGATATAGTCATTTCTCACTAATAAAAACATCTTATTATACATGTAAAAATCCATAGAAATTAATAACTTGCTAATCAAGTTTGTATAGAACTGAAGGAAATCTCTCGAATCACTACGTATTTTCAAATTAGATAGGCACATTTTCAACATTTTAATATTTATCCAAAGTACAGCAGAAGTATTTAAATAAAGCTCTAACAAATTAAAAATTAAATATAATTATAAACGATCCTGAAGCCTCGTTCCTGAACCGACGCATTTTAATTTTACGGCTTCGTTTATGTCTTCATAGTGTAGTCCGTTTTACGATGAAAGTGCTTTACAACACTTTCGGAATTCGTTATAGGCAGATTACCAATTTGTTATTACAAAAATATGATAAAACAACAAATCGATGACACAGAAAAGAAAATCTGCTTACTGGTTATCTTGTAAGAGATTTGGCGACGGGCAAGTGAGACAATGGCTGTTGTCTTGACCAAAGCAAGAATCACAAGCGTCATTGCACCGATGGCAGCGCTGGTCGAAAACGTACTCCTTCGACGAACACCGTTCGGATCCCGATGGAACACATTTGCCTTTTTTGTTGATTTCCCAATTAGGGCCACAAGTCAAGCAAAAAGCACTCGTGCATGTATCACAACCGATGGGACACCTGATGAAACAAAAAGATAAGTTATTCAAGTCGTTAATAATAACAAACTAACACATAAGAGTCGTAAACTTACTTCATACACTCTTTCCTTTTCTTGTCTACGTAATACCCAGCAGGGCAAGTCGCTATACAACGTCCTTCTAACGCGTATGTCGTCGGATGACAAGTCACACACTGAGCTTCTCCACTGCCTTCACAAGTATCACATGACGCATGGCACTTAGCACACATGTATTCTTCTGTCTCGAAATATCCAGGTGGGCAAGTCGGCATACAAACACCCTCGTGAAGCAGCAAATGATGTTCACAAGAAGTACAAACGTCTGATCGTTCCGAACAAGTAGCACAATGAGAAGCACACGGTCGACAAACTGCAGCTTGGGTGTCTTCCCAGTAACCATCGGGGCATTGTTGTAAGCATACCGCTAGATCTGCTACGAGCAAATGAGCTGGAGCACATGTAAGACATGAATCTTGTCCTGGGCCAACGCAAGTTTCACAAGACTCATGACACGGCCAGCAAACCCCGCCTTGGTTTGCGTAACTTCTTGGAGGGCATCGAGAAACACAGGCATCGTCTAAACGATAATGTTTGCAGGCAATACACTGAGTCGGTCCTTTTCCGTAACATCCTTGAGTATCGCATTCAGGGTCACATTCGTGCAAGACGCGCTTGTCATTACTATCAGCAAGGACATTTTCCCCATGCGGTGAAGGGACGTTATGTCCATCGAGACTAGCTACCGCTTTTTCCGGATCGGACCCAGCGGCAAAGAGACTCGGGTAATTCTGGTAATTGGCAAACGCGTCAGTGTTGTAAAAAGAATCACCGATAGTTTCATAGCCATCCGCGGCAGTTGGGAACGCGTAGGGAGGAGCCACTGGCGATGGTCTCTTTGATCTTAATCTCACGGGATCGATAGAAGTACCGTAAAATATTAACTGCCATTTTTTGAGTATTCCTGGTTGATTTACGTGTCTATTACCTCCATTTACAATTTGTAGTGTCCATCTGCCTTCGGCGTGTTCTCCCCAAAAATGAACACTGAGGAAAGGCCAATCATCGAAATTTGAACTGACGACGTCGCGTGGCCTCTCGAATAGAAGCGTAGAAGTCGTCCCCATGGGGGATGTTAATAATATACGTAAGTTACCGCGAGGGAAAAACCTTAATGATATCTTACACTGAACATGTTCGAGGTACCGAACTTCATTAACCGTTCCACTACAACCATTAACGTCCATGTGAACGGCTAAATTATATGCGAATGATGGCTCTATAGGCTTATCTTCATTTATTTCTTGCGACTTACAAATATGTTGAGGTGGGACCGATACCCACTGTTCAGCTAAATTTACCATCTCGGCAGCATCCATCAAACCATAGCCGAACTTATGGCTGACTTTTCTTTTCACCCCATTTATGACCCAACCATTTTCTTTCTCCAGCGGTTGTGGTCGCGATGTTAAAACTACAAGATATTGCATGTCTCTCCATGTTAAATCAGGATTGGCTTCCAACGCCAAAGCACAAATGCCAGCAGCAAGAGGAGCAGATGCCGACGTTCCAGTATGTTCTACAGTACAAATATGATCAGATCTTAATCGTCCATCCATGTCAACAGTAGCTACACTTTTATCATGTCCTGGAGTTCCAGAACTGTATGTAGTAGTTAAAGTTGAAGAGCACTCTTCTAAATACCAGGGCTTGTACCCTCCTTGTGTGGCACTAGATATCGAAAGTGTGAATATACTGTTCGTATAACCATCACAATTACAAGAATCAGTATGCCGGCCACCGTTTCCGGAAGCCCAAACGAATATTGAGCCTTTACCTCGACGTCCACTGGTTACTCCGTAGATAAATGCTCTGTGGAATAAAAATCAAGTAAGTACAGCTTATGTAACATGATTGAAGAATGATTTTAGAAATGAATGATGCATGAATTTAGAAATTTACACAGATATCATTATCATCCTCACCGTCTAGCCAATGGTCCTGGCCCATCAACAGTTTTACCGTCGTCTTCTGGTCCCCAAGACGCACTATAGATATCTATATGATCAGGATTGAGACCTAAGGCTCGAGCTTCGACAGCGTCGTTGACCACACCATCTAACATTCTAACTCCACCTATACTGGCATTGTAAGCTATACCAACACCACAGTATTGGTTATAAGCAACTGCTGCTACTTCTCCTGCGCATCTTGTACCATGCTTATTATCTCCATTGTCTTGAGGCATTGGATCTTCGTCGTTACCATTTATGTCCGTTGACGCATTGGGGTCCTAAGAATAATAAAGGAAAATAAAGACTACCTCCTCTTACTTACGTGATAATATAGAAACATAAGTTCCTAAATTAAGATTTGTTTCTAACTTGTACAATTCATTAGATCATTCATGTAAAAGTTCCACTTCTTTGTAAGAATCATTTCATTATTAACGACTTATCTATATACTACTTCTGCTAACGAGAATCAAGGGAGCAAAAAATAAGTTACTTGCTCGAATAAATTGATACATTTAATGATATCATCGATAAAATATGGTCATTTCACTCTCTTTCCAGTCCTTGCAAATGTAATTTACGATGATAACGTGTAAGATAATGCTAATATTAATTATTTCGACTGTACGTAGAGAAAGCGATATAAAAGATTTTAATTTAATACAATTTCGACAAAGAGTACTCACGTATAGGAAATGAAACTATTGTTCCGGATTTAAATCGCGTATATTTGTTTTTTCAAACAAACCGACGTTTCGGGCCCTTTACAGGTCCCATGGTCCCATGGGAAAACAAATATACGCGATTTAAATCCGGTAAAATAGTTTCATTTCCTACGTGTAACAATCGCGAAAACCTAAGAACTCGATACAGTACTCACGTAATTTTGTGCAAGATCGGGGTGGTTTGTTTGGATACCGTCATCGAGGATTGATACCACAACGCCTTTGCCAGTATATCCCTTTTGCCAGGCAGGAGCTACATTCATGTCTAAGCCATCTTTAGCACCTCCGTTCTGTTCAGACAAAATAATAAATTGTTGGCGAAGAATTTGTTAATCGACACAAAATTGTACAAAATTATAATAAAATGTTTTAATTCTTTAGTCTTAAATCTTTATACACCTTCTTTGCTTTCTGCTTGGTAGAGTTACTACTACTATAATCAAAAATAAAATGTCGATACTAACCAAGTACCATTGTTCCTTATATAAGGGATCAGGGTAGAACGGCGCCGAAGCAAGCGCGCGATGATGCGTGCGATGTGACGGCAGTCTTCTATTTATCTGGGACCACAAAGTACTGTCGTACGGACTGTAGTCTCGCTTCACTCTCTGCCGCTCGCGCTGTTGTTGTACCCACCGTACCTAGAAGAGAAATAAACTATTGGTATAAATCGACCAAATTGAATAAATTAAATTATATTTGTCCTAGTAAGTGACGTCATTCTCTGCGAAATCACAGCTCTTCTCTAAATTAAAGGTTTATACTATAGATAAGTCTGCCATCGGAGACTTTACAGCCCTTGCTAGGGTTGTCAAGCATCATTAAAAAGCAGGTGTTATCACGATGTTTTCTTTACCGTTCGTAAGAGATATCGCTACTAAACATTCACAAATGTATCTAACTTAGAAATTATAATCATAAGTATATACCCCCAACATGTTTCGAACCGAGGACTTTGCGGAGAAGGAGAACCGAGCCGCCACCATCGCAATCATCATAATAACTGTGTACTCATTATACATTTTAAACTTTTATTGATTATCACGAAATGAATGTCACTATTGACTGGAGTTCCCGTAAGCCATGTAGCGTAAAGCCGCTTTAAAAAAAGAAAAAACTGGCATCATGGTATGAAACCGTCACTCACTCTATATGTATATAAACTGTGTGTATATATGTCATATATTAAATATGAATTGAATAAATACTGAATATTTTCTTCAAATTTGAATGGGAAAACTACTGAGGTACCCCCTTTCCAACAAAAATCATCGAAAACGGTTTACAAATGTCGGAGTAATCGCGTAACATACACGATTAAAGAAACACTGTAAATACAAGAAGGATCAATATCGATAACAAGGACAATGAAAGTAGTAGTAGAAAAGGAGAAATAAACCACTAAATCGAAATAAAAATATTTTATGTAATTTTTAATTTCATTACATTACATTTTTTACTGAGAAAATGCTCAGTCTAGATAAAATGTGCTGTCTTGGCTTCGTATCTAATTGTATTTCAGATAACGCGACCTGCCACATACGGTATATTAGAAACATTATTTGTAAAAATATATGTATTTATCTCAATAATTCTTATTTATTACGGTATACCACCTGGCGTCTGTTCACACAATCTGATCTATTTTATGTTGTTTGAGAAAATGACAGAAATTTTGAGAAAATATCCTGCTGTTGCCAAATGCTTTCTGTGCTAGACAGAATTAAGGACGTAATAAATAAGACTTCCTATAACTGTTCATCGGTACCCTCTACCATGAGTTCATAGTTTAAATAATTGCTAGCGACCGCGTAATGTATTTGTCAATTTTCACAAGACATACTAAAAATTTATATATAAACATTTTACGCGATCGCAAGTGACCATCGAGATTGAGAACTCGTGGTAGAGGGAGGTACAGAAATACTAAACTCGTAAAACGTTAATACATAAGTGATTTATATTTACAGAAAGATAAATTCACATATGTCTCGACTGGAATACATTAATATAAATTTTGTTAGTCAGAATAAATGTCAACGCGAAAAAATAAAAGCAAATAAAGAACATACATAGTGGCAAAGGTACAGAAAGGGATGCTTAGATGGTTCGGACATGTAGAGAAAATGAATGAAGGAAGATTGACAAAACAGATTTATAAAGCGAGTGTGAGTGGGTAAATTGTAAGAGCCGACCAAGACGAACTTACCATGACCAAATTAAATGACGGCTAAAGAGTGGAATTTCCTACCTGGACCTTTTCAAGGCGAGAATGAATAGGCATTATTTAGGTGTACATCGTCGACCTCATCGTCACTTTCCATCAGGTGAGATGGAGATCAAAATACGTACAATTATAGGAAATGAAACTATTTTTCGGTTGACTGAGGTGGTCTATACAAATATACGCGATTTAAATCCAGAAAAATAGTTTCATTTCCTATGTGTAACCATCGCGATAACCTAAGAAGTCGATAAGTACAATTAGTTTTGTTTAATTATATAAAAAAATGACGACAATTTAAAAAAGGCCAGGTCAAGAGTACCCTTTACCGACTAACATGTCTGAAAGCACTTTTGCATGTTGATGAGGCGAATGATGTGTGTCAGGGCCTTCCCAAGAGGAAGGCTGTTGCCTCTGCCTTCACCGATGAAAAAGAGCGTGAAATATATGTATCTATGTCATATCATACTAAATGTTTAACGTGAAAAGAAATAATCTCAGTACAGTGCACTGAAAAAAGTCCTCAAAAGTTAGTGGAATTACATCTATTTGCCAAGTTTTATTGAAATCAGTTACCGGAAAGTGCTCAAAACCGGATTCATGCCCTAGTTTGTCACTCTTAGAAGTGGAATATTTTCATCAAATTTAAATGGCACCACCACTACTTAAGGAATCATCAAAATTGCATCACAAATCGTTAGGGTTATCGCGTAACACACATACAAAAAAGTGCTCTGCCAGCCTTTCTGATCACCTAAGGCTTTAATTAAGTGAACAGACAACTCCAACACTATATGTATCATGCATTAAAACGTAGTAGGGACAATATAAAATATCAAGACAGCACCAAATGGAGAGACGCAATTCTTTGTTCGTCTAAACAAGATGGGGTTGCGTTAGGAGGTGCAATTTCACAGTTGTTGGAACGCAACAGACAGCCAGGGAGGAAAATAGCACCAGCCCGTATTACCATGAGAAAGGCCCCGAGGGAGGTCCAAGTTACATTGCTTTTTCAGTTTTTCAAGTGTCGAGGTCGCGCCAGCAAAACGATGTAATTTCCGCATCGTAAAAATGTAAAACTAAAAGGTCTCCCGTAAAGGTGGCGGTCTTTTTACACCATACCTCACTCGTATACCTTTTATCTTTTCGATTATGTTTGTGAGCGACCGCAAAGTAAATTTTGTGGCAGTATTATTTGGATGATTGCTGAATAACGATATATCTTTGGTCGCGTTGAAAAAAGTTAGGTTTTCAACCATATTATGACACGGTTTTCATTATAAAAGAATGGTGTTACAAAGAAGTCCCTTTGGATCTTAATACTTTTGAGTTTTAAATGTGTTTATAAGCATTAATCAAGCTTAGGAAATGAAAAATATAACACTACGCGTACTAAATTGTTGCGCGCTAAATTTACAACTCAAAGTTGCAAATTGTGTTGTCTAAGCTGGAGGTGGAGCTGTGCTAGTGCTCTAATTTCATTAGCAGTGGCAAGTAAAAATGTTGGGACAGAGGCAGGGTTGCGGGGCACAGGAGGACAATGTCACACATGTTTTATTAGACGGTCGCGGCTAGCATATGAACGAACGGCCAGGGAGCAAGCGGCCGGTGTTTGTCTCCGTCCCGGTGTAATTTGATTAAATCCCACGTTTTCTCGACTTGGTCCACTTTTATTGTTCTTCTAGTTTATCTTCGTTCAAACAGAGGAAAATTTTGTTAGCAATTTTTGGTATTACACGATCGTCAGTGACCAAATTATTGTCAATCGTATAGATTACCTGTTGGTCCTTGAAATGACTAGAAATAACTACTATTTCCCTAGGCTTTTGGATGATTGAAACTACATTATTAAATATAATTAAATTAATGACTATAACTTTTCCATCTTGATAGATGATCTGTAGCTAAAACAGTGTGACTGTCAAGATAATTAAATTTCAATGTAATACAATACGCTTCGTAATTCACACTAATATTATTCATATTTATTTTATTTATTATCATTATTATTCGTAATTCACTTCGTAACCACAGTAAGTTTGAACAAAATAGCAGAACGGATCGCATGTAATTTTTCAGAAAATGTCAAGCAACAGACATCAATAAAAATCATTTCTTGCTGAACAAATATTGTTCCCCATATTGTTTTGTTCGACACTCGTTACGTATGCATTCAGCTGGGCAAACACCGTCGTTACACAAAACAAACATAGTTATCCTTTAGGGAGCAAAAAATCGGAGAACCGAATGAGGTTTTATTAAACCCCTTTGTGCTTATACGGCGACGTAATAGGGTCCTAAACTAATAAACTTGGGGTCTATTGCTAAGGGAGCCGCAGCTCTATCAGGCTCACCGGTTTAAAGCAGATTTTTGTGGAAAAATTGGTTAAGCATCCTATTGGCTGTTTAGACTCTATTACGATCCAAGGAAAAAGTTTCCAATAATGTTAAGCTTTTTCTTAGATCTGTGGTTAGCACAGTAAGTACGTAAAACGCGTTCGTAAAACGTAAAACTAATTTTACAGGCAGAGGTAAAAACCACTGCCTGTAAAATTAGCGTTCAAGTTTAATGAGACCAGGGAATTTGATTATCTGGAACTAAAGCTAGAATCGGTAATTTCGAGATGAAATGAAGAATTAGCCAAAGAGTTTAATTATATTTTACAACGTATCTTCATCAACCTAGCGCCCTAATCTGTAGAGTAGCAAAACAACGTACTACATTAATCTAGTCGCGAAACAAAGTGACAGCAAAAGGTTCTACGTATACATAGATCCCTCAAAGTCACATTTCTCATCTGCATTACGTAGTTGACCCTTGTCTTTTGTCGCTCGACCCAATTTACGCTTGGCCATATTTGTTTTGAATCTAATTAAAATTTCTTACACACATTCACATTGTTCGTGATAAAGCTATGAGGGCTATTACGGGTTTTTAAAAGGGTTTATTACAAACTCCACCGAAATGGTCCTGTATGTTTAATTTTTTACATTACGTACACCGAACGAAACGAAATCATTTTGATAACACAAAATTTAAATTTTTGCGGTTTGCCTTCTCGTAAAATCTTCTTTTTATGAAGTTTCATAAACCGGCTTGAAAAATTTATATAAATCGTCGGCTAAATTCGTAAACATCGTAACTTCCTTAAAGTGAACCTTTGAGTAGGCACAAGAATTAGAATAACTAGAAATAATTATATGACTATCTATGATATGATTATGCCTTTATTTTAAAACTACAAGTTTTCAAATTATTTAGTAGTATTACTAGTAGTAGAGCTCCTAGTAAATGAGTTCGTCCAGGGAAGTAATGCCACCTTATCTATTTCTGCCGCCAAACAGTAATGTCAGCACTACTGTGTTCCGGTTTTGAAGGGTAAGAGTGCTGATGAAATGACAGGCACATGGGATTTG